TCGCACAACCAGCTTGCTTGGTTGCAAGTGCCGTCTCGGAAAATAACTCCAGAGCGGTAAAGTGCGCCGACAGAAAGTTCGAGAAAATTCCCTCATCGACACGTCATCGGAGGGAACCAGTTGTTGTGGCCAGATACAAATATAATAGCTCGTTTTAACACGCTTTTTCTGCCAAATTAACGTCCCATTCAATACGATGACTCATTTAACAAAACTAACACAACTAATTTCCTGGATTGAGAAATACCCAAAAAATTAACTTGTGTTAAAATTAAATCGTTATTAATCTTAAAAAATGTAATTGGTGCAATTAATTTATTAATTTAGTGTAATTAATTTCAGTATGAAAAAGAAAAAAATATAAAAATACTACAGAATAATTATTTTTCCTTATGTATGATGAGAATACTGGAGCACTATAAAACATATAACACTAGTGGCCCGTATAGTTGATAGGTGATTATTTTCTTGCTCTATTACCAGTAGAAGAGTGAAATGATTAACAACTTTATAATATAAAATATTTTTTTGATAATCAACTATAAAAAGTATATTGTTGGATTTGGAGCTGACGGGGCAAATGTTATGATGGGGAAGAGAAATTCTGTTGCTACATGGTTGAAAAACGATGTCCCATTTTTTAATGCTATGTATTTGCCAGTTTTCATCACTGTGCATCTTACGCATGTAAAAAATTACCGAATTTAAACAACTGAACAACTGGCCAGAGATGTATATTACCGTAAATGTTAACAATTTAGGAAATGACTACAATTCCTAGGAAATTATGACATTTCCTAATAGCGGAAGAAAATAATATCATTGCCTAGGAGTTTTCATCATTTCCGTAGTTTATTAGGCAATTTTATTACGCATCGTTCTCTTACACGAAAGCATTGGCGATTATGATGTCGCAGGTCATATGGGATCAGCTTAACAATGTAACCACAGGGTTGGGCAAGGAGGTATAGATGATTTGAAATAACAGTTACACTCATTTTTAAACGAAATTTAAAATTTATTTTTTTAATGTGTACCTTAGATGTTGCCATTATAAAAATTAAAGAGGAAAAAATTAAAATATTGATTACGTACGAAAAATAATTACTGTTAAATGCTGTTCGTTTTTGTCCATACACTCTTATAAGCGTTGTGAGAAGTTGTCCATACTCCTCTGAAAAGTTGCACGTGGTACCGCTCGAATTTCTTGTGTTATTGTTTCACTCAGGGTTTTAAGTGTACATGGTTTGTTTATGTATACACGTACTTTTAGGTAGTCCCATAAAAAATAGTCACAAGATGACAGGTCCGGTGACCGAGAAGGCCACTCCACATTTACACGCAACGAAATGAGGCGCCCAGGGAAGGTCTGCCTCAAAAATTCCATAGCTGCTCTAAATATATGACATGTCGCCCCATCTTGTTGAAACCATACTGTGTTGAGGTTGATACATCATCTTCTCAATTGTGGCAGAAAACACTCACGCAGCATCGTTAGGTAACGACTTACACCGTTAGGTGACGGTTCGACCGTTTTCTCGAAAAAAGTAAGGGCCAATAATGAAGTTTCGACTAATGCCACACCAAACAATCAATTTGTTGCTGTATAGAGGTTTTTCATGAAGTTGACATGGATATTCAGATGCCCAATACCTAAAGTTCTGTTTGTTTACCACTCCTGACAAATGAAAATGGGCTTCGTCATTCATAATCAAAACAATATCATCAGTCATGTTTTCTAACATTGTTTTTGCAAATCTGAATCGTCTTCCGTAGTCATTTTGCTGCAATTTTTGGACAACCATCAGCTTATATGAATGAAAATGCAGGTTCAAATGTAAAATTCGGCGAACTGATCGGTGCGACATGCGAAGAGCACGAGCATGTCGCACAGCCGAACGACGAGGGCTTGAATCAACTGCTTAACGCACTCTATCAATGTTTTCCGGAGCTTGTACCATTCGTTCACCACCTCATGCAGTTCCAGGTCTCAAGGAATCTGTTCGTTGAAAGTTATTCACCCACTTCATTATTGTTTCAAACTTCGGAACACGACCATGATGGTCAACGTTGAAATGATTCCAAAACCGTCTCCGAGTTTGAATGACGGAACGGCCTGTTTCAATAAAGGTGTTGTACACAAACACGCGATGCACTATCGATCACGTCTCCATTGCTACTAAAACGGCAACTCATAACAAACAGATACCTCTACCCTTTATCAACCAAGGTAATCCCACCTTGCACGACTCACTCTCCGTTCAAGTCATCCATACCTCCCTGCCTTAACCTGTATTAAAACTATAACTAACTCACAACGGCAACATGCTAAAAATCATAATCGTCAACCACCAACTGTCAATATTTTCCGGGTTCCAAAAATATCAGTTGTGAAAATGACTGATATCGATGATAGGAGAGAGTTTGTTAAAAGTGGACGTTATATCACGTTGGCGGATGATTGCGATTGCCATAGCGTAGTCATGACATCTATTGATAATAACAAATACCCATCCGTCATGATTAAAAACGAAATCGGATTTTGGCTAAAAAAATACACGAATACGACATAAACGGACGAATAAACACATATTGGATGGATGCGACATTCGACATTCGGTCTACATCAATCCCTTATAAGCTTTCTAAAGAAGAACAAATATCTTCGGGCACCTTCTTTCCACCTTTGCCAGATGTAGCGCGTCCCCGTTGCTGATGGTCTTCGACACGTATGGACCCACGTCCAGTCGAACGTGGTATCGGTTTTCGGCTAAGAACAACTCGAGAGTAAAATTTACGTGTGCACAAAAACAAACACGGAAACACGAACGACGTGTGTACGTCGATGGAAATCCAAAACCCCTTACGGATGCCGTCTGTGATCTGGGCGTACGTCAACGTGAACCCTTCTTCGTCGGCGATCCTCTGCAGGAAATCTTCGTAATGACAGCGTAACATGTACACGCTTATGGATGAAAATCTTTGCGAACACATAGACGGTTATATATGCGTTGCGATCGAAGCGCACGATGACTGCAACGAGGCCGTCACCTTTAGTTTGCCCAACGATTTGTTTTTCGACAACGTCAATCGTGGACCTACTTCTTCGATTTTTATCACCGTTCCGTCGTCGGAACGCATGATCAGTTCACCGTCGCCGCTATTGCTTCCGATCGCTTGCGGTGTCACCTCTATGGCGACAGACTCCTTCGTCGATTCTTTGCCTGCGATGCGTTCCCGCGAAAATTAAAAAAATTAAGATCATCATCATCAGATCACCGTTCGGTCAGGGGGAAGGGTGAATAGAACCTCCGATCAAACGCCTGACGATGGAAAACGCCGTCGAGTACATCGATATGGTGCGACGCAGGATACGGATAACAGTAAACGTTGAGTGTATGGTTACCGGTTCTTTTGGTTTCGAATTAGGGAATTGTTTTAACTATTTGATGTAGGTCTATTTTTGTTCTTCGGCTTTTTTTTTTTTTTTTTTTTAATTGTGTTAGGTATTTATTTGATGATTTGTCCTCTTTGTGGTGTTGGATATATTTATTATCTTTTTTTATGTGTATTGGTAGATAGCGTATAGAATCACGGAAAAAAAATAATACTATTTTTTTATTGTTAAAAATTATATAGTCAATTCTACTAAATTATTGATGATAATAACTAATGTCTATAAATTGGATGAACTATTTTAATATTGTTATAACATTACAGCCTTGACTACACAAAAAACATAGTAACATGATTTTAACCATTTATTTTTGCTAAACCTAATATGTTGAGTTGGAAATACCAAATTATGTTGTTATTTCGTCGTTTAATAGTGCTGTTTTTAAGGTTATGCGTGATTATAATTGACAGTACGTTTCATATTTCACGTTTTCTGTCATACCAATGATCATCAATATAATATTATTATAATATACATATTACCTAATTTGTGTTACAATTACAATTGTGTTAATTACCTAATTTAATTAGTGGTCGTACTTACAAGTGTCCAACTGTTCTAGTGCCTCTATTTCAAACAAGTACAAATTACTTTTCATTTGGATAAATAATACAACTTTATTTGCTATGTAAAGTAACTTATAATCATAGGTTACTTACTATATTTCGGACATGGACGAATTTACTGAAGCATATCTAAAACAGTAGGAATTTGAATATTTAATTAGTCGTTTTAAAGGTACTTATTGCAATATCTAAATCAAATTACCATTGACTTGCACTAAAGTATTGGCTCCTATTATGTATGTTTGTACTCGTTGAAGTTTCTAATTTAATTAATTTTAGAGGGAGAAATAGATAGAATGGCCTTTTTAGATTTGACTGAAACAATGGTAGCCACACTAATTCCAAAATCAGACCACAGTCAAAATTTTTCAAATTACTTCAGACATTAAGAGAAGAAATTCATAGAAATAAAGTAGGTTATCTATTATTTCTTCCATTTAACTATCTGAAATTATGTATATATTACATATATATGTAAAATGTGCATAGCAAAATATAATTGCAAATCTTTGGATTTAGAAATGTTTTACATATAGTTTGAAGATGGCCATGGTGACCGATATCAAAATCATAGTACTTAGTTACAAAATGCTTTTAATGAAAATATGTACCTATTTTAGGTAATATTTATTCCAGTTAAAGAGGGGGTGATATTGAACATGTGTTAAATTGTTTCAGTAGATATCTACCTAATAGTGATGTAAATGGATAATATTAATATTATATTACAGTAGAGTCCCGCTAATCCGGTCATCGCTAATCCGGACATCCGGATAATCCGGACAATTTATGTTTCGTATTTAGTACTCATGTATAATATATATATTCGGGAATACCCATAATTAAGATATGGTTTAAACTTATCGTTTCGATTAGGTACATATGTATTGTGATATTATTTCGTTTAGTGGTGATTGTGTACCAGTGTAGACCGTTCCATTTATGTTTTCCTCTGCTTATTATAAAAACAACATAAAATGACAACTTCGGTTAAACGTAAGAAAGTGACTGAAACAATGGAACAAAAACTCCAAGCTTTATTTCGTATTGATGCTGGTGAATCATTAACAAAAATCGCACAAGAGTTAGGAGTGGGTAAGCAAACCGTTTCGGATTGGAAAAAAAAACGAATAGAAATTGAAAATTTTTGTGCGATGAAGACTTAATGCCTTGCCAAATATTTAATGCTGACGAAACTGGGTTGAATTAAATAATGCTTCCAAAAAAAACATTAGCCTCAAAACTAGATTCTGTAGCCAAAGGATATAAAGTGAAAAAAGAACGAGTAACTTTACTTCCTTGCAGTAACGCTTCTGGTGATTTAAAATTTCCACTTTTGGTGATCGGAAAATCAGTTAAGCCTAGAGCTTTCAAAAACGTTAATATGAGTGCACTTCCAGCTCAATACACTTCACAAAAATCTGCTTGGATGAACGGAAACATTTTTAAAAATTGGTTTTTTGAAACATTTGTGCCTACAACAAAGACATTTTTGAAACAGAAAAAACTTCCAAAAAAAGCTGTATTGTTTATAGATAATGCTCCGTGTCACCCTAGTGAAAGTGAATTACGAGATGGTGAAATTTATGTGAAATTTTTGCCACCTAACGTGACGTCATTGATACAACCAATGGATCAAGGTGTTATTGAAACGACAAAACGGCTTTACAGAAAAAAGTTGATCATGTTTCTTTTAGAGCAACAAGAAGCGAACCCGTTAGTTAACTTTATGGATCTTTTAAAAAAAGTAACAATAAAAAACTGTTCTTTATTTAGCCGCAGAAGCGTGGGAAGGAGTTAAGCCAGAAACACTTCAAAAAAGTTGGAAAAAATTGTGGCCTAATATTCCTCAAGAAAACTATAGACGAGATGAAACAACTTCAAATGAAGACACTGATTTCATTCAAGTTTTTCAAGAGTTGAAAGGTTGTGCCGAGGTAGAAGCAAATGATATTTCTGAATGGATAAACGGTGACACTGATGTTGGTCATCAGGTTCTTAGTGATGATGAAATTGTAAATGCATGTATTGAAAACATAGAAATAGAAGTTGACAGTTCAGAAGATGAAGATGATGGTACAGATCAATCAACGGGCCCAACACATGGTGAAGCAACTGCAATGCTGGAGCAGTTGATGACTTCGAGAAACAAAGTGAAACATCTTCTGCTGAGCTACTGACCTTAAGGCGTCTAAGACATCGCACAGCGAAATTACGTCAATCTACATTAAAACAAAAAAATATCACGGAGTTTTTCAAGTCTTAATACATATGTACATAATAAAAATAATAATGTTACCTAATGTAAAATTGTAAATCAATAAATTTTGAATTCGTATAAATACATGAGGTGTTTTTTGACAGTATATTTATTGTGTAATTATTTATTGTGTTTATTAATGAGTAAGTTAAAAAAAAAAACGTCATTTCGTTTAATCCGGATTTTCGATAATCCGGAGAGAGTCCGGTCCCATCTAGTCCGGATTAGCGGGACTCTACTGTATATTACTTTGGTAAAGTATTTTAAAGTAATACATTTCTCTGTAAAGAAATAGATATTAATTTCTCTAGGTACCATATTTTAAGTATTATATTTTTAATATAGTTTTTCTTTGATTAAACTTATTTTAGTATTTTTTGTAGTCAAATTTTAACTACAAAATTTAAAATTGTTTTTAAAAAAATTACAATTTAAATTGACTGTAAATGTTTTATATCATAAGAATCAAAACATTTTTTAAATACATAATTAATTTCATTTAAAAAACTTGGTATATCATAATAAGAAACTTTTCATTTTACATTAGTACATAAAAAAAAAACTTAGGAATACTAGACTTTTAATTTTAAATTTTTAACATGTCTATAAATAGATTATACAAGTTAGTAATTATTACATTTTAATTCACATAGGCAGTATTTTTAAAGTGTTAAATAGCAGTCCTGCAAATAAGAGATTATCACATGAGAGGTATTTCCAAAAAAATTAAAAGCAGATCTCCACTTAAGGGATTAAAAATGTATTATTAAATAAAAATAACACATAGCAGGTTATTTATTATGAAAACTAATTTTTTTCTGTATCCAGGGATACCAATTTTATATATTGAAGGTTTTTCCCCATCAATGATGGTGTCATACTTTATACTGTTTTCTGAGTTTTGACTACAATGCTATGTTATGTAACAGTAAGATTTTAAAATGTTTTTTCCAAGGAAATAGCATCAAAGAAAGAATGTGCTGGTAGCCTAATTACTCTTAATTCAGATCCAGTTGACATAATTAGTATTGATAATTTTGAAATTGTTAGTACTGAAAAAAATGTAAACAGTTTAATGATGAAGACATGTTACCTACCACTTCACATGGAATTGCTCATTCATCAATAAGATTAAATATGAGTTTAAGTAATCTAATTTTCTTGATTAATAAATCAATCTATTTATGATCTCCAAATTTATTAATATTTTAATATTTTAATATTTTTTTGTTAATATATATTATTCATGTACTGGATTTTAATAAGGGATCTGCTTCCAGTTTTTTTTTAAAAATATTTTCTAGGTGTACGTTGTTATTTGCTGTTAGACTAGGATTTTCACCTAATCAAGTTCCCTTCGAAAGCCATGGAACACTTTTCATTTTCTTTTGAATTTTATACTTTAAATATATAATAGTTTAAAAATCCAATTTTTTTAACTTAAATAAAATAACATAAAATGTTTAAATAATTTGATTAAAATAAATTAACAATAATAAACATTTTAAAAGTCGCTTTCATAATTATAAAAAAGAAATCATTTTAAATTAATTAATTTCTATTAACTTCAATATATTCAAACTGAAATTAATTATTTTTCAGAACTTGGATTTTTTTTTTTTCAACTAAAACCAAGTTTTTTTCGGGAGCTGGATAACCACTTTTCATTTTTTTTTTTTTTTTTTTTTAATTTTATATTTAAATATTCAATAGTATAGGGAGAAGCAACGAATATGGAATACCATTTTGTTTTTAATCTCCACTGACTACAATTTTGATATTATTGGAATACCATAAATATCATATTAGTTTAAAACTATACTAGTACTATAGTAACTATACTAGAATACATTTTTTTAGTTGTTAGAACACTTCAAATTACTAATTTTTGTATATTCATGATAATATATAAAAAATTTGATTTTTACCATTTTAAAGAATGTGGAGGTATATGGAATAGGGTATCTCATAATACCAGCACTTATCTAATAGAAATTAAAAATTGATTTTTACACTTTTAACATATACGTTTATTATAAATCACAGTCTTATATATATATCTTATTACATAAACGATACAATGTCTTTTGAGACATATTAAACTGTTTAGCTGTTTTTTTTATTTGCTATATTTGGAAAAAACATACAGTTATAATTTAACAAATCGATAAAATCAATATCTTGGCAGTCCTTATTTTGCCAAAAACTGTACCAATTTTCTGCTTCAGCTTGGAGATTATCAATTTTATATAAATCAGCAATTTTTTCAATGCTTTCAAAATACATTTTTTTCTCCAATTTTTTAAAAATGTTGGGGTGAAGATATTGTAGTAAAAATGCATTATCATTTTTTTTATCAAAACGTTCTTTTATAGATTGTAAAATTGAATCAATATATGGTATAAAAATTGAAACTCGGTAATAATCTTCACAACTCAGTTTTATAGTTCGCTCTTAGTGACTGTTTCTTTACCGTTCTTGGACGTGTAATGACAATATCTAAATCAATGGCGATTGATTTCGCTTCGTTAAATAATGTTTGGAAAATGTTATCAGCGTCATTTCGATGATTATCGAACAATATTAGTAATGAGTTAATATGCTCGCTGACTTTAAATAGATCTACTAAGACGCTTTGTAACATATTTGTCACAGGTTCTAAAATAGCACTGTATTTTGCCATAATAATCATAGAAATTATGAATGATGAATTTGAGGCCGCAGAATATAAGTAATGAGCTCGTTGCCTTGTATTGGAATTTGAATGTACTTCATTATTTAATAATGATTTCAAACTTGTCATTATTGAAATAAAATGTTCTGAAAATACTCTTATACTCTTATATTTAGACGACCAGCGTGTTTCACAAAATAGTGGTATGTTATGGATAAGTTTTCTTCTAAGCGTACTTTCACGGAAAAAATCTTATAATATCTTTTATAGTTCCAGTAGTATTACGAATAATCATTATTTTATTTAAATCATTTATAACTAAATTTAACCTGTGATTAGAACAATGAAAAAATGACGCTTTGTTATATTTATCACGAATTAATTTACTAACACCGCCTTCTTGTCCAGCCACTATAGCACAACCATCATATCCTTGCTCATAAAGTTTGTTTAAATTTAAACCACAGTCAGTCATAAATGATATAATGTTTGTAGCTACGGATTGAGCATTTAATTTGTCTAACGGAGTAAAACCTAGAAAATTCTTCCCGAATTTTTGGCGGATTTGAGTGTTTGTCTAAAAATCGAATTCCTATTGACAATTGTTCTGTTCCAAAAGTATCTGCAATTTCGTCAGCAATAACAGAAAAAGCATTTGCAGCGTTAGCTAAATTAACTATATCATTTTTAATTAACTTTTCACACATAGGAATGATTTCATTTTGAATTCTAGGTGATGTATATTTGACATTTCCCACATTCTCCGATACATGTTTTTGTAATAATTCATCACCTGATTCAATTAGGAAAAGTAAAAGATCATTAAATATGCCTTAATTTGATGTTTTTCCCCATAGAGAAAGATCATGAGTTGCAAAAAACAAAATGCTTGAAATTATTGGTTTTAATTTTTGTCTATTATATTCTATTTGTTTTCGTAACCCTGAATTTGTCTGTTCAAGAATATTTAATTTGTTACCCTTCATAATATTTAAAAAATCATTTTCTCGTGCTATTGACTCAAGATGCCATTGTGAAAATAGATGTGTTCGACTACAAGCATGGAAATCTTAATATTTTGTAAATGGTTTTATTATAAACCCTCCTTGTATACCTCTATGAACATTTGGCTTACATAATACACATACTCAACAAAAAGCTCTTTTTACGCCTCCAATAGCCGAATATGATAGCCATGTATTCTCTTCTAGCCATATATGCCTAAATGGACGACCATTTTCCAATTTAAGATCATTTTTAAAATTATATGAAGTAATTGGTACCCACGGATTACACAAAATATCGAACTGTAAAGCATCGTCAATTTTTACATTTGCCAAGTAGTGTCATTTATATATATATATAAATATATATATATCATTTTTATAATAAGCCACTTCCTTGACTTCAACATTTTCAACTTGGTCAGTAAAACTACCACCTTTACTCAAGTTAGTAATAGCAACTGTACTTGTGGAATTAGTCTCTATAGTCATACTTTTTGTTTTATCTAACGGTCCAATAAGACTATCATCTAATTTAGGTTTCTTAAAAAAGTTCCGTATGTCCATAATTAATATTATAAAAAGATTTTACCTTGTCCGCTTGTCGAAATTTGTATATTTTATTTTTGCGAGAACGTGATGACACTCGTTTCGATCGAAAGCTGCGTTGGAACTAATGGGACTATGGGAGTACCGCGCGCCACGTATAATAATAATGATAGGTATATTATCATGTAAGTGACACGATAATATACACAATGTAACAACAAACAGCTAATAATTGATTGCCATGTGAGCACTCAAAAAATACATTAAAATAAAATAGTCCGATTATTATTAATGATAGTTTTCATAGATAGCCATTATGGGATACCCATGTGGATTATTCAAAATACGGGACAAAAGTGTTATTTTTATACTTGTGTCGGGACACCAGGACACCTATAAAATACGGGACGTATGGTATCCCTAAAGTTGATGGTTCTATGCAGAGGTGGTGAAACTCACCTAACTCTTCTCTTTTCATTAATTTTGTGCACCCATTTTCTCCTTTTCTTTTTGGTATTCAATCCGAGTAAAAAAAGAAGTTCTTAGTCAGAGCTACTATTGGATGTCATTTTTTAAAATTTGGTAATTTTGGTCACAAAGAAAATTAAACGATAATACCCTGGTACTTCTATTAACCTTGTATTCAATCAAGCAGAGTACACAAACATACTGAGGGCCTGTTTTTCAATAGCA